GTCACCATTGGGGACAGCTTTAACTTCAGCTCCTAATTCCTGGGCTGGTGAGAGGAGTAAGGATCAGAGAGCAGAGCGGCTCTGTCAACATCTCTGTCTAAACCACACGCTTCCAGCTGGCACCTGTCATTGTTCTGAGACTCGCCTGATTAAATCTCTGAAGCACAGCAAGTTAGAAGCAATATTGTCTTCAGGAATGTGGAGTGACATTCTGAGGATCTCTTTTTAACAAGAAAGAACTTCCAGCCAGGCTGTATCCTTCACATGTTACTTTAAATGGCTACAGATGGACACATGAACATGCTCACGCCTGCATTCCTGACACAGGGTATTCGTGTGTAGTTGCCATGAACATGGTAGTGTACTCAGAGGCCTCGTGGATACTCTGCAAATAGGACAAGATGTAGTTACCAGGCCCAAGGTTGAAGCTAGGTGGTCCAGAGCTGAGATGAGGGTCTTGGGCTAAGTTCAGTCTACAGAAATATCATTTGGAGCATAAATAGCCATGGTTTAGGATAAATATCTGCCACTGGCCATTGATGAAGATTTGGTCCTCCTTGGGTGGTATTGTTGGAAATACTGAGAGGTAGTGGTACCTGTGAGAGGCAGATTTTAGTGGGAGGTTCTCACATCAGTTAGGGTGTGACTTTGAAGGGAACTATGGGACCATTCCTTTCTCTCTTCCATGGTTGTCATGAGGAGAAGCTTCACGTTCCCATATGCTTCCTGCCATGACGTGCCTCCTTCTGTAGTGAGCTGCCTTCCCTCATAGCCAATGCTTCCGGGCCACCTGATCACAATTTGAAAATCCCAAACTTTTGAGTCAAAACAAATCTTTTTTTTTTTTTTTTGTCATTTTATTATCTCAAGTATTTTTTTTTTTTAAAGTAGTGGAAAACTGACTAAAACCTGGCATTTTTATTTCAACAGTTCACACTTTTCTTTCAGAAGAGACAACAAAATGGTCGTTCATTTCTTCAACACAACAGGAGGCTTCATCTCAATAGTGATGGCTCCTTAATGTAAGGGACCATTCATCACATCCTTTGCTCCCAAGTCTCCCTGCTGACAGTCTTGTAACCCCCTGCTTCCCTTCTATACAATATCTCTCTGTCCTCACATGCACTTGGGGTCATGGTCCCTCTTCTAGAGCTATTTTATGCTTTCCTAAGTATCCCTGAGATGAATTCTGTATTCTACCAACTTATATGTTGAAGCCCTAACCCTCAGAACCTTGGAGAATGGAGCCAGGGAACATCTATATAGAGGGAACTGATGCTGAACAAAATTATTAGGATGGGTTCTAGTACAGTACAACTGCTGTCCTTTTACAGATGAAAGCACACCCATGGGCAATGCCATGTGAAACTGAAGGCAGAGGTGGCTATAAAAACAAGGTCAAGGAACTGCCCCAAATTTCCAGCACACTAGTGGATGCGGGGTTGAGGAGAGATTAGTACCACAGCCTGTAGAGTCATGGGCCTGCCTTACCCTGCAGATGGAGTCAGTGCAACATCTTGCTCTCAGAGTTGGGGACCATATGTTTCTATTGTGTAACTACTCAACTGGTGACTCCTTGCTATTGCATTTGCAGCAAACAAATGCTCCACATGGCTTAAATTGAGCCAGCATCTTCCTTTGATCACGGGGAAGATAAATAGGGAAAGATCCCAAACACGGGTCATCTTCAGTATAGGGAAAAGGTCCCACAAGTCCCTTTCCAAACTCAAACATCTCCCATTCCCAGAGCTTCTAACACAGCTGTGTCTAGTTACAAGTACAGCCTCTGTCTACAGTGGCGCTAGTGGGTGCTGAAAAACTTCTGGTCAACCATGACAGCAAAGAAGCTAACGGTTGATTTCTGAAAGAGTGTTGTTAAAAAATTACGTTTATTATGTGTGTGTGTGAGGGGCAGGGGCAATGCCATGTATGCATGAGATCAGAAAGCAATTTGTGGGAGACAGCTCTCTCCTTCAACAGTGTGTGTCCTTGAGATTGAACTCAGGTTGTCATACCTGGCAACAACCCACCCACACGGGCTGAGCCATTCCATGGGCCTGGAGGAAGTATTTTAACAGAGGAGAGGCAGGATGCTGTAACCTTCATCTACTGCCAAGCTGGGCGTGGAGTATAAGTTCCTGTGGCTTCTCTGAGACAGCTTCTGCTCTTTGACTCTTCACAGGTTCTTCTCTCCCATCTGATCCAAATGGCACAGACGACCATGTGAGAGGCTAAGTCTGTGGATCTTCTCTTGGCAATGCTAAAATCTGGCAGTCTCCCAAGGGCCTGGGGGCACTGGCTTTTTGTGGCCAGAATCAGTCCATGTTTCAGGGTTTCAGCTCCTTTGTTCCTGACAACCCCACTGGCAGTGGTCCTACAAGTAGTCACCTCACCAGTCACTTAGCACCCCAAAGTAGAACCAGAAGGGAAAAAACATGCTATCTTTTCCTCAGGAGGCCACTCTGACAGGGCACCCTACCTGTGAACTTTGAGAAGTGTGGCTCCATGTCTCATTTTTTTTTAATGGTAATGTTCTTGAAGTGTTAAATTAGACTGAAAATTAAAAAAAAAAGAGCCATGTGGATGAAACATCATGTCAGGAAGATACCCAGAGAGGATGTAGCATGGATTTGCACAGTGGGTTTGGTCTTGGCCAGAGTGAGGAAATATCCTGAGGTCTCTCTATTTCTCTTGATTATGGGCCACTGGGGAGAGAAGCATGGCTTGGATAACGGACTCACAGACCAATGGACCTTAAGCATCATCAATAATAATCTTAGCATGCCCCTCACATGTACCATCTAAGTATGTATTTATAAATGTATGTATTTATGTATGTATCTGCCTATCTACCTACCTTCCTACCTATTTAGACAAGACCAAATATAGTCTAGGTTGGCTTTGAACTTGCTTTGTAGTCAAGGATGACACTTTGAACTTCTGGTCCTCCTGCCTCCATGCCTCCATCTCTTAAGAGCTGGGATTCCAAGTGTGTGCCACCATGCATGACTGTGTGCTATCAATTTATGGCTAATGTATTAACAGGAATTACTTCATGAATGTGCCAAACACATTGTAATGAGGTACAGATAAAAAGGAAATAATGAAAATAGAAGTTCTACTGTCCCCGTTCCACTTCCCAGGGGACAGACTTGTTCACACTGTACTTGTTGCACTATCCTGGAATTGAGTCTCTGCATAAGGAGCAGCAACAATGCATACCTTCTTGCTCATGTTCCCATCTCTAACTAGGGCACTCCGCACTTCTCCAGCCATGGCTGACTGAAGCAGTCATTTGCTATAAAAAGGACCCTGATGATTTCTCGACTGAGTCAGGAACGACTGCTCCAAAGCACCCACAAGGCAATGCTAATGGAAGTTGACTGGTGACTTTCCTCAGCACTGTGACAAAATCCCTTTCCAAGCAACTAAGGGGAGGAAGGGTTTCATTGGCTCCCAGTTACAGGCTGGGAAGCACAGCTGAGGTCATGGCAGAGTGGCCCCATGGTGGGATTCCTACCATCTCAGTGGAACAGGAAGTAGAGAGCTCTAACTAGAACTGGGCTATGACTCTTAGCACCCCATTCCCCCCAGTTAGGCTCCACCCACTCTAAACAGCACTAAACAGCACATCACTTGGAGACCAAGTACTCAAACACTCAAATCTTAACCAAAGAATAATCATACTTTTTAGGTAGAAACCCAACTTCCATGCTGGAAGGTTTTACAGAAATTGACCTCACTGCACTTGGCTAACTGTCCCTCATTTCCACTCCAGGATTATTCTTGGATTGTTGTACATTTTTTTTTTATGCTATTAAAACCATCAGGCTAAAATATAGCTTTCTTTCTTGCTCATCTTTAGTGGCTCTCATGGATTCCCATTAGCATTTATGTTTTGGAAAGAAAGAAGGATAGGAAGATGGAGAATTTCTTGGACAAAGGTTTGAAAACAGAGAACTTTTCCAAACACAGCCATATATATCTCCTCCCCTTCTGAGTTTTATGGCTACGGTTGTCAGAGTATTATGGTGGTGGGATATGCTTGAGTGTTCAGCATGAGAGGCTGGGCATATTTTCTCTTTGGGAAGATGATCATGTATCTCTCTCTCTCATACACACACAGGCACTCTTTCACACACATACTCACACACACACACACACACTTACACACATAGAGGTAGTAACAGCAAATGCACAGTAAGATGTACATGTGTGTGTTCTGATAATTTTGTTCTCCACATCTGATTACTGTGTTATACAGTACCAAATCATATCAGTGTTGACTGTTTCACACAACCTGTATAATTGCCACAACCCCCTCTAGTAAGGAACCAAATTAATTATGAGAAAGAAGTTATATATAATTATATGCAGTAATAGAAAAAAACTAATAGAAAACTAAGACAGTAACTGAATTTCTCTAAGCCTGATGTCCTCAGCTGTAAACAGCATTAACATGCCTCCTTTATAGGAAATTCAAAGAAAAATGCTTAGAAGTATGCCTAAATGGCAAGTGTTTGATAAATGCTACCCAATAACATGTAAAAAAACTTAGACTCAGATGACAAACCTACATAAGAATTTTAAGATATTACTACAACACAAAGCTATGCCTATGTCTTTAACAACCATACATTCAACATTCATAACCATATGCACAATATTCAAGAAGCATCCCAGAGTAGCAATGAGGCATCACTACCAAACACTTGACTACACATAACAGTGTGCTTGACTGTTTCCTTAGTTCACCAAACCACAGTTCCTTTACATACAGCCCTAACCCTTGAATCAAGTGAAATGTCCAAGATTTGGTTTAGTGAAGGGGAGGGACTACAAGCAATCCTACGCACAAACTAAGATGCTATCCATTGGCTTTGTATGTAATAAGTTGCCAAGAGACACTAAGGAGCAGGCTGGAGATGGAGGCTATAGACTTCTACTGGAGCCACAGAGCCTGTCCTGGGGTCAGAAGGGCAGGGGTGCTGCTTTCCTACCTGGTGAGCTTAGTGCCAATCTGCTGTCTGAGCTCCAGTCGCTCCTCATCCGTCTGTCTGGGAAGGATGTTCTTCTCTTCTAGCTCTCGCTTCGAGGGCCTGTTGCTGAGTTTGATGGCTAAGGAGTCCTTCCTGCAGACCTTCATGGCCAGAGAGCCTGTAGGAGGCAGAAACTGGTCAATCCACCTGCCTGGATACCAATGAGGCCAACCACGAGTGGGCTATGAAGCAAAAGGTAGGAAGACCGATGCAAAGGTCTTAATACCCAAGAACACTAAAGTCCGAGTTCCTAGCACTGTCGCCATTGTCACACTGTAGACACCTCATACGGTGTGGGACATATTGGGTGAGAAGGGAGCCTGTGACTGGATCTCTCCCTTAGAAATCCCCAGCATGTGGCAACATCACAAAGGAGGACAGGACCTGCTGGGCAGTGCCATAGAGAGAAGAGAAGACAGGGAGGACAGAGGCCTCAGCAACTAGGAAAGACTTCACAGAAGGGGGCTGCTGCCATGGGGGAGGACACTCCCACAGGGGACAGGCATGTGGGAGTTCATATCTACATATGTCCAGTGGTGACATGATGCTAGGAACCCTCAGGAGACAGATAAGAACAGCCACTTGGAGCTCAGGGCATATGGAAGGCGACAATAGTATTACTATGTAGTCAAGGTGGGGATGCGAGCAGAGTTGAGGACTATGACATGAGCAATAGCCTGGGATTGCTCTTTCTTTGGAACACTCAGGTTTCTGAACATCCAGGACTGTGATACACCTGTGGCTTCAACCAGAGTTGATTTTGCTCTTTAGTGAGCAGCTGGAGGTATTTATGGGTATTAAAGTTTAGGTGGCAGTCCGGAGGCTGGTTACTGCCATCTAACTGGTGGGGATCTTGGGGCTGTTAATCACATTGCAACAAAAAATAATATGATCCCAAAGGCCAATAGTGCTAAGGTGAGAAACCCTGGCACAGAGTCTTCTATTCTCAGGCACCACATGGCAAACAGGCTCATTGGCTACCCCCTTCCACTAATGGGTCATGGCACCCTGTGACTGCACCTCTATGGTTCCGTCTTCCTTCTCTGTTATCTCAATTTACAAGTCACGTGGAACCACGTTGATGCCCTGAGACAGGTGTAAGATAGAGATATGAGAACACAATCTTAGCTCATTGCTGGGAACATGCTATATACTCAGCAAATGGCTGCTGTTAGGATAAATTCACTTGTTAAACAATTGGCCCCCAAGTCAGCCACAGCCGTCCTCACACCATTAAAACCTCGTTATTCATAGCCAGCATAATAGATGATCAACTTGCTTCCTCTATTTCTTAAAATAGTTAAAGGTCTTTAACAGAGAATTTAAACTCAGGTTTTCTAAAGTTGATGAGACACATGTGAAATATGTTGAATACATACACGGTACATAGGTTTATACACATGGAACAGAGTTTTAGGTTCTCCATGGCTCCTTGTTGTTTGCAAAAGAGGGTTACATTTCAAGAAAGCAACCAAGGCAGGAGAATGAGGTGATAAAATAATGGTGATATACACACATACACACACATATGTATATATACATACACACACATATATATGAATATATGTATACACACATATGTTTGTATGTATATACATATACACACATATATATACATATACATACATACATACATATCTATGAAGCCGGATAGATGATATGTACTCTCTCTTTTATCACTGCTAAGGAAGCGGGGCCTTGAGAAGTCCCTTAGCTGCCCTGTGACCTAGTGCTCAATTAAAAGTGAATCTTCAGGCCACCGCTGTCTGCTGCTTTTCCAGTACCACGCTTCTCCCACCACCATGGAAAGTCTGCACGCACGTACTGGTATACAATGACGTGTCATCATCCTCATCATCGTCCTCTTCCTCCTCCTCCCGAGCATACAGGCAGGATGAGTCTTCATAGTCGGATTCATGAGGCACATTTTCTTTATTGTCGTCACATTCAATCACAACCGTTGGCACTTGTCTGATTTCCGGAAGGCCCAAGGGTCCTGCTTTCGTGACACCATCGCTTGAGTGCAAACCAGAGCTGTGGTAAGAAGTGGAACAGGGGACTCGCTGCTCAGAGCTGCTTAAAGAGAAAACAAAGGAAATGCACCTTAGCTAACACAACCTATGCAGACCTTGGGGCTGCTTTAAAATTCAGTTGTCTTACTCTAAGAGACGAAGATCCCCCAGGCAATGTGATCCATTGCTCATCCTGTTGCTCATCCTATAGCTTGTCCTTCTAGGGTAGTGTTTTTCTGATGGGGGCAATAGAACCTTGGATGGATGGTGGATGCACAACAACTTACAGCCACTGGATGGTGCACTTTGAGCCAGTTAAAGTGGGGCTCCTCTGCAACCCACTTATATCCTAACCTGGGTAAGGACTAACTTGATCTCAAGTGAGCTAGTGAGCGAGGCTCTAGTTTTTAAAATCTATGTAGAGCAATGGCAGGAACTGAGAGTGGAGAATAGTTTGAAATGCTCTGGGTGGAGATACAGAGGAAGAGGAGAGCTGGCATGAATGAAAGGCTGACCCATGCTCGGACATCAAGGTGGACACAGACCACCTAGAAGAAGGTCTTTCCCAAGGATGGTTCAGCAGGCAGTCACAGGCAACATTAGCCTAACTTCCTGCTCCACACTCTTGGCCAGTTTTCTAAGAATTCTGCTCTCGAAATCAATGAAGATTTAATAGATTTTCAATAAAAAAGACACCTACTACTAGACAATTGGAAAATGTATGTCATTACAGTTTCCTAATAGAGCCGGTGTGAAGATCTCATAGCAACTTAGAGTCCTTTTGTATGAAGTCCAGCAAAAATAATGGGAATATGGCTGTGGAAACATATTTCTTTCTTTCCATCCTCCCTCCCTTCATACTCCTTTCTCTCCCTCCTTCCATTTTCTCCTTCTACTCTTTTTATCTGGTGTTGGGGGATTGAACCCAAGGCCTCACATTATGCTAGTCAAGTACTCTACCACTGACACATAGCCCTGGCTCAGGTAAAATTTTATTTCTTTTCAGAGTCTTCAAAAATAGAACTTGTATACATCTTTAAAGATTTCTGAATATGGGAATCTCAATATATCTCTATATATCAAAAAGTATTTGACATAAGCAAATGGATTGTGAAGTATATACCAAGGCTTTACAGTATAATCTTTTATCCTAAAGGAATCTTACTGTGCTGTAAGAAAACATCAGTTGCCTTTGAAGCCTTCAATTAGGTTTTAAGTTATTGCTGTGTCTAATTTAAATTCAATTAACTTTCTTCCTTTCAGTGTTTCCAAAGGGCTGCTTTTCTCTTTGTATTTTCCACATAACTCTTCAGTGACACAAATGGGAAATCCAGTTAACACCAGATGAGCCACGATGTTCAAGGCAATGAACTAAATCAACTTAAAAACAACAATTACTGAATAGGACAATATCCTGTATTTACAAAAAAATGTAGTGTTTTATTAGAGATTAGTAGTTTGAGATGGCCTATTTCCCAGCTAATTGCATAGAAGCTACAATGGGAGCAGAAGGTAGGTAGAACACATGATCGATAGTCTCCAGGGTGACAAACAGAATATTTAACCATAAATTGGACCGAGTAGACACCTTACTGCTTTACCCTTCAAGGCAGCCCCTCCTACAGAGCAAAGATAGTAACTAAATCCCCACTGTGCCTGGATAGTTTTTTTTTTTTTTTTTTTTTTTTTTTGGGTATCATGGTCTCTCTCTGTGTGTGTGTGTGTGGGGGAGTGGTTTGGCAGCAGAGACAAAAATGTAATTCCATGGCTTGTGTTTTGTTCTATCTTTACCTTCTCTCTACTGTCATAATTTAATTAGTATGGTTCCTAAAAGGCACAGAGCTTAGGATATTCATCTGGGAGTTAGGGATGGGAAGCAAATAACAGATATTCTTGTTTAGTGTGAAGAAATGTTGGAAGCTAGAAAACAAGACTGCTTTAAGGCAAAAAGCTCCAAAGTGAATGCAAAGGGAAGAAGAAAGGGGAATAAGATAGATAAGAAACTCAACCTTATACGTGCTGTGATGGTTTGAATGAGGATGGTCCCCATAGGTCATATATTTGAACACTTGGTCCCTAGTTGGTAGAGCTATTTGGAAGGATTAGGAGGCATGGCCTTATTTGGGGAGGTGTGTCCCTGGGGATGGGCACTGAAGTTTTTTTGCTTGCTTGCTCTGTTGCTTCATAGCAATGGAGAGGTGATTAGGATGGGTGGTATGCAATAAAGAAGGGGCTGTGATTTCTCCTTGAAGACAAGATCATGAGATCAGGAGTAGAACAGGATTCCACAGGAGGGCACATTGCTGCACTGACAAGTACAAAGTGTCCACTGTAGACTCACAGTCTGTGTAGTCTATTGGGCGGTTGCAGAACTGTGGAAGGTGGGGTGTGTGTGGATGAAGTGGGGCCCTGGGAGAGTATCTTTGAGGGTTATCTTGTCCTAGTCCCTTCCTGTTTGCCACTTTCTTTGTTTCCAGGTTGTTATTAAGTTAACTGTCTGCCTCACGTTCATGCGACCATGATGTTTAGCCTTGTCTCAGGCTCTCAGCAATGATATCAGTCTACCATGAACCAAAACTTCTAACACTGGACCATGGTTTGTCATCCCTTAAACTGTGTATTAGTTACTTTTCCCATCACTATGACAGAACACTCGATAAAACAGCTTAAAGGAGGGAGCATATATCTTGGCTCATGGTTTCAGAAGGTTTAGTCTGTTCATGGTTTCTTGGTCCCATGTGCTTGGCTAGGATATCATGGTGGTGGAGAGAATAGCAAAGGAGAGGTGTTCTCTTCATGGATGAACACACACACACACACACACACACACACACACACACAGAGAGAGAGAGAGAGAGAGAGAGAGAGAGACAGAGACAGAGACAGAGTCCTTAGTCCACAGGATAACGCCTCTGATCTGTGGGTAGGCCCTTTGCCCATCAGCCATTCCTCTCTGGAAACCTGCTTATAGACACCTCTTCAGGTATGTACCTCATTAATCATCTAGATGGTTCTAAAGCCAGACAGGTTGACAATGAAGGTAACCTCCAGATATTTGTCGATAATAAAAGGTCCATCTAACACCTCCTGTCTCCAAAGGTGTGGGCTCTGTGGTGGCAGGAGCAACATTTTACTGATGTTTGTATCTGGTGCCTACCATCATGCAAAAACAAGTTGGATACCTATTAGTTACTTATAGCTTCTGCAGAATAAAAGAAATATGAACTTTTATAACTGATATTTAGGTGCACTTGGCAGTGGTTGATATGTTTACTCAAAGGGTATTAGGGTATTATTCTGTAACTTTCAGGGGGTCATCTAGTGATCTATTGTGGGGCTATGGCATTATAGATTGATTAGCACTTTCACTAATGGCTTAGATAAGGACAGAACAGGAATTCTCATCACATAAGGGAAAAGAACTGTACAAAGAGGACGAGGAAGGTGAAAACAGGAACATTTATGGAATATTCTAGAAAAATTTCACACATCTTGAGAACTGCCCTGCAGGAGAGATGTTTTGGTGATCCTCATTTTGAGGAGCAGGAAAATGAGGCTCTGAGGTGGCAATCAACTGACCTATAAATAGAAATAATGAGGGAAGAGGCCAGGATTTGAATGCACTCTGTAATAATATTCTGTATTCCAAAAGTTACAGGAATGTTAAGCTTGCACACAAGACTGCCTAGCTGTGCCTGTGGAAGGAGGAGGACACACCACGCCTTGTCAGCAAATGTGTAAAGTATGGCATTGTTACTCACTAAATGCTTTTGAGTGTGTCCTACCCTTGCTATGGCAGCACCATCTGACACAGACATCTGACAAGACCACATTTGAGACCCTTCCATTCCAGTTTAAAAAAAAAAAAAAAAAACCACACACAGAAAAATTCAGAACATTTGAAATAAGTTTATGACTGTGTGTTGGGCTCATTCATAACTCTCCTTGGCCTCATGTAGCTTCAGGCCACAGGATGGATTCAAATGCTTTACTAATCAGGGAAGTAATACATCAGGCCACTCCTGGGGCACCAAGGTCAACGGCTCATATTGGATAATGGGCTCAGAAAGTCAGGATTTAGTAAGGGGATTCAATCGTTCACCCACTGCCATGGCTGGTTACAATAGTTCCTATTCTTGCTTCTGTGAGCAAATATCTCACAAGAAACAACATTGGGAGGAAGGAGCTACTTTGGGTCACAGTCTTAGAAGGGTGTAGCCCATCGCAGCGAGTTAGGTATGGCCACACCCGTCACATCGAGGAAGGTGTGGCTACATGAGCATGAGGTGTTGTTCATATTTAGAGCATGTTAAATACATTTTATAGACATGATAGATATATTAACACTAATCAGACATTAAAACTTTTATAAAAGGTTGTTCTAAGCTCATTTTAGGAACCACCAGTGACAAAGATTATTTTCTTTAATGGTGAATTTTGCCAGGCTTTTTCAACATTTGTATACTTAACATTTTGAACAAGACAATTCTTTGCATTAGGAACTGTCCTGAGCATTGTGGAAGATATAGTCCTGCCATTGGTCTCTACCCACTAGATCTTGTATAGTCTCAGGAGGGTACAAGAGGAAGTGTGTTCCAAAGAGAGTCTGCACTTCAATTACTGTGCTCACTTTAGTAAGAATCCTGCCTGCTTCCAATGCTTGACTGGCTTTTGATTTTCTTGGTAACTATTGTTCAGAAAGATTTTTTTCAGGTCAAAAATATAAAACCATCCAAGTGGTGGTCCATGCTTATAAACCCAGCACACAGGAAGATGAAGCCTGCCTGGGCTCCAGAGAGAGATGTGGGGAGGGGAGTTGGGGGGAGACAGAGAGAGAGAGAAAGAGAGAGAGGGAGGGAGTGGGAGGGAGGGAGGGAGAGAGGTGGGGGAGAGTGAGAAGAGATCTCAACACACATACTCATACGCAACACACAAATAACACACTTACATACACACACACCCCTACACCTTCCCACTACTCACACACACTAACACACTGCCAATGGATCTATCATAGTAACGAGTTTTTGATGACTTGCTGATGTTTCCAAAGAAAGTCCA